GCTCAGTCACTCAGTCATATCCGCTCTTTGTGACCCCATGGACTGCAGCACACCAGGCTTCCTTGCCCATCACCAACTCCTGGAGCTTACTCAAACTCATGTCCATCGAGTCAGTGATTCCATCCAACCATCTCATCCTCTGTTGTCCCCTTCTCCTCCTGCCCTCAATTTTTCCCAACATCAGGGTTTTTCCAATGAGTCAGTTCTTTTCATCAGATGGCCAGAGTACTGGAGTTTCAGCTTCAGCATCAGTCCTTCCAGTGAATATTCAGGACTGACTTCTTTTAGGATGGACTGGTTGGATCTCCTAGCAGTCCAAGGGACTCTCAAGAGTCTTCTCGGACACCACAGTTCAAAAGCATCAATTCTTGGGCACTTGGCTTTCTTTATGGTCCAATTCTCACATGGTGTAGCCATAGAGAAGACAATACGAGACCATAAATAAGTGCTTTGAAGAGTATTTCATTGCATGATAAACCTCGGATGTAATGCAGAAAAGCAAGACACAGACTCGTGTGTTTCTCGTTGTGCAGAAACATGTAGTACACATGACCATCATTGTACAAAAAGTCAAAATAGAAACAGTGGTTATATCTCGAAGTAATGAGATTATAGATGATTTTTATTTTCTCCATTATGCTTTTCTGCAATTTGATTTTATATAATACAAATGCAAACTTCTCATGGATAATTATCTCAGTGCCAGGCATCATCAACCTGACTCCTGCTTCAGGCATTATTCTGAACAATTTCTGACCATATGGTAACAGATGAAAAAGTTAGCAGTCTGCAGGGTCATGCTTATAGGAAGCGATGAGCAGGAGCAAGACCTTTGACTCCCAGTCTGCTGTCTTGCCAGTTGACCCAGGTCTGTTCCCAGCTGAGTGAAAATGGTGATCTTGCACTTAGAGATTAACTCTGGAATGGCTGGGATGGAATCTCAGGCCACACACTGGAGGCACGCAGGAGGGGCCAGCAGCCAAATACCTAGGCACGTACCTCTCCACAGACAAGCAACTCGCCAAGATGTGCATTTTAGCAAGTAGCAATGGATAAAATTCTTTCACTTCTTTTCTGGCAAAAAATGTCTCCTTTCCAGAATGGAATGACAGTGATAAATTATAAAAATTGTTTCCATTGTTTACATAGTATATCAGCAATTCTAAATATTCAAAATATTAAGTGTTTAACTTAAAAATATTTAAGTTAAATACTTAAAAATATTTAAGTACTCAATCTATTTTTTTTTTTACTCTTGTAGGTTCAATTCAAATTTTCAGCGTTAAATTTCACTTATTGGAAAAGGAGTGTGGCAGTATGCTATTAGTATTAGTATTGCATTAAAATTAGTTTTAGTGTTGGTATTAAGATTTTATTTGCCAGACTTTTATAGGACTTGCTATGTGCCAGGCACTATCCCAACCACTTTGAAAGCATCATTTAAAGCTCGCTGTGACCCTGTTAGGGAAGCACCATTGTCACTACTGAGAGGTTAAGCAACTTGCCTGAGATCACATAGCCAGAAGTGGCAAAAGGGGCTATGAACCCAGATCGGCCAGCTCTGGAGTTCCTAGTTCTCATCGAGAGGGGTCTGTAAAACTTTTTCTAGAGCCTTTGGGGAAAACCACTTGATCCACCAAGGATAAGGAGATCATTTAATGAAAAGAGGATTTCCAAAATAGTTGGTTCGCCGTAGGAGCCCCATCCGACATCGCCCGTGGGGGATTTCATGATTGCGTGCGCCATCTTGTGGTCAAGGAGAATATGGCTTCCAGCTCTGAAAGGTGAAGTCGCTCAGTCGTGTCCAACTCTTTGCGACCCCATGGACGGTAGCCCATCAGGCTCCTACATCCATGGGGTTTTCCAGGCAAGGATTCGAGAGGGGTCTGTAAAACTTTTTCTAGAGCCTTTGGGGAAAACCACTTGATCCACCAAGGATAAGGAGATCATTTAATGAAAAGAGGATTTCCAAAATAGTTGGTTCTCCGTAGGAGCCCCATCCGACATCGCCCGTGGGGGATTTCATGATTGCGTGCGCCACCTTGTGGTCAAGGAGAATATGGCTTCCAGCTCTGAAAGGTGAAGTCGCTCAGTCGTGTCCAACTCTTTGCGACCCCATGGACGGTAGTCCACCAGGCTCCTCCATCCATGGGGTTTTCCAGGCAAGAATACTGGAGTGGGTTGCCGTTTCCTTCTCCGGGGGATCTTCCGACCCAAGGATCGAACTAGGGTCTCCCGCATTGCAGGCAGACTCTTTACCAGCTGAGCCAACAGGAAATCCCTCCAGCTCTGAGAAGTAGCCTATTTACATCTTGACCTAAACCTTTCCCTTCCCTTGTGGGGCTTCACCTTGTGGGGCTTCCCCTGTAGCTCAGCTGGCAAAGAATCCAACTGCAAAGCGGGGGACCTGGGTTCGATCCCTGGGTTGGGAAGATGCCCTGGAAAAAGCAAAGGCTACCCACTCCATTATTCTGCCCTAGAGAATTCCCTGGACTGTACAGTACATGGAGTCACAAAGAGTCAGACACGACTGAGCGACTTTCACTTTCACTAAAGTTTTCCTGTTTCTAAGAAGCCTGAAGGCGCTGGTCACACAGTTATTCGAAGAATTCGCAGCCCCATCTGTGGGCAGCCTCTGAGAAGTCAATCAGGTCTACAGGATGCTCCCGTAGCGTTTGCTACCGGTAGAGTTGCATGTTGTGAATACAGAGACACACCAACAGGAAGATCAGAGCCAACCCCTGAGAACGCTGTGTGTCAGCGGCAATACTCCTGCCCACTTTACAGGCAGTAAAACCGAGATTCAGGAAGTCTAATGGCAAGTCCCAGATGACAAAGCAAACGCAGAGGTGGGGTTCTGGCTGCCCTCTACTAGACCACATGTGAACCTCCAGTTTATGCCACTGCATGGTGGGTAAGGACCTGGGCTTCCTGCTCGACAGCTACTCGGAGACACAGCCCAGACAGCACTTAGCTGAGCGGGGAGGAATCTCAGCGGCTCGTACATTGTTTTCCTTTTAAATTAGAGATGCTCTGGACTTGCCTGGTGGCGGAGTGGATAGGAAGCCACCTGCCAGTTCAGAGGACAGAGGTTCGATCCCTGGTCCGAAAAGATCCCACGAGCAGCAGAGCCGCTAAGCCCACTCTCCACAGCTACTAAGCCCACGTGTCCTGGAGCCTATGCTTCACAAGAGAAGCTACCGCAACAGGAGTAGCCCCTGCTCACGCAGACTAGAGAAAGCTCTCGCAAAGCAGCAAAGACCTAATGCAACCAAAGATAAATAAACAACAATTATATATGAACAAAGAGATGCTCTGAACCTCCCCAGGTCCTTCAGTGCTCTAAACTTCCCTCATCAGCCATGTGACATGGAATATATGGGTTTTCTTTTTTTTTTTCTCACCAACTCATAGGCAAACAAACTTGAAGGGGTCTATGAGGCAATGTTCTCCAAAATACTGCCATTTTTGAACAGGGACAGTACCCCCACAAGACATCCATCTCAGACAAGTGTAGCTCCACCCGCTAGTGCACCCCGATTCATCCACCTCCATCCATGATTGTACTCTTGCAGTGCCAGCTCCTTCATCTCCGAGGGCCTCAGTTCCACCCGAGACCTGCAACATCAGCTTCCCTCAGGAGTTTGTCAGAGAGCAGAGTCTCAGGCCCTGCCCAGCCCTCCAAACTGAGCACCCACATTTTAGTAAGATCACGGTGACGCCCATGGCATAGAGCTACGCAATGCACTGCTGGAGAGACTGGCCAAGAGTGATGGGTGTGAATCAGGTCAAGAGGCGTGCGTGGAGTGTGGGGGGACTTCCCGGCCTTCTAGACAGCAGGAACACCAGGAGGGCTCTGAGAGGTGGGCGGGGCAGCACAGGGGGAAGGACAGGAAGACCTCGGCGAGCGAGGAGCTGTTCTGGACTCCAATGTGTTTGGGATGTTTGAGGCACCCAGCAGAGGCCAGCGTTGAGCATGAGGTGTGGGACCTCTGAACTGGATGCACAACCTCAAGACTCACCAGGGCCATGGCCATTTGCCAAATGACCTCTGAATTAAAGAAAAGGGAAGACAGCTAGTCCCCTCAAGTCTGCTCCCCCTTATTCCATGGAATAGCGTTTCACCTTTGCACAAGATCTCCCTTGCAGACGCCAAATTTCTGATCTCCCTGGGGCTTCCCCAGTGACTCAGGGGTAAAGAATTCTCCTGCAGTGCAGGAGATGCAGGAAACGCAGGTTCGATCCTTGGGGCAGGAAGATCTTCTGGAGGAGGGCATGGAGACCTGCTTCAGTATTCTTGCCAGGAAAATTCCATGGGCAGAGGAGCCTGGCAGGCCACGATCCATGGGGTCACAAAGGGTCAGACATTTAAGCGGCTGAGCCCAGCACAGCACACAGCTTGGTCGCCTGATCCAGCTCCGGCCAATGGAGTGTGAACTTGCATGTCACATGCTCAGACAGTAATGCTTGCTTTCTGCTTCAAGTTTTTTTTTTTTCCCTTCCTGTGGTTGTGGTCCAGGTTGTGACAGAGCAGCATAGGGTCAGTCCTGGGTCCCCACCTGGCCATGTAGACCCAGACTGATATCTTAGAGAGAGACATAAGCTGTCTTCAGTACCTGTGTTTTAGAAATCTTTTTGAATTTTTAAAATCTTTTTTTTATTTTTTTTTTCATTTATTTTTATTAGTTGGAGGCTAATTACATCATTGCAGTGGTTTTTGTCATACATTGAAATGAATTAGCCATGGATTTACATGTATTCCCCATCCTGGTCCCCCCTCCCACCTCCCACTCCACCCGATCCCTCTGGGTCTTCCCAGTGCACCAGGCCTGAGCAAAATTCAGACACGGGAAAGTTGCAAGCATAGTAGAACAAAGTATTCCTGTGTATCCTTCAGTTGGCTCCCCCATTTCACTAAGTTCGTTTTATCCTTTTATCTCTTCCTCAATTATACATATTTTTCTGAACCACTTGAGAGTAAGCCTCAGGCTCACTGTCTCTTTACCACTGTATATGTCAATATTTCCTACAAAGATGTTGCCCTGATTTCATAAACCACAGCAAAATAATCAAAATCATAAAGTTATTAATAACATTGATAGACTTGAAGCTACTATCCAATATACAGACTGCAGTATGATTCTGCGATTCTGTGGATTGCCTCCACGATGTCCTGTATGACAAAGGAAGCCCAGGATCTCCGCACGGTTGCTTGTTTCAGCTCTTCAGTCTCCTTTAGTCTGAGATCATTCCTGAGTCTGTTTAGTGCCGTGGACTTTTTTTTGACCCCGACATCTGAAGAATTCAGCCTCTAAGGTTTATCTGATGCTCCCTTGTAATTCAGTTCAAAGGTTGCAAGTCGTGATGTCATGTCTTCTGCCGGGCAGGTGTCAGCATGTGCTCGCATTGGTCTGTTCTTATTCTCGGTCCCGTGTTGGTGGTTATTTGGTCACGGTGGAGTCGGCCAGGTTTCTCCGATGTTAAGTCACTGTTTTACACTTCCCAGTTAATGAGTGCTCTGTGGGGAGATGTTGAGGGTCATTCAGAAGTTTAGACAGCACAGTAACTAGTGCGAATGAGGACGTTCTGCTGATTCAGCTGCAAATCCAAGCTCTTCAACTCGAGAACAGTGGTTAGGGATCATACATTCACATCCCTCCCTTGGTATTTGGATAGATAGGACATTTTAATAGTTCCTCTGGACCCCCCCCATCCCATTAAACTTTATTAATCTGTTTTAGGGGAGCGCTTCATGCAGGATCTTAGCTCCCCAAACAGGGATTGAACCTGTGCCCCCTGCATTGGAAGCACAGAGTCCCATCTACTGGACCACCAGGGAATTCCCCCCATTAAACTTTAACATTAAATTTTAATAGCCCAGAAGGGAGCCTGGGTGGTGTATTTCCATTTTGCCAGGGAAGTCTGCAGCTGAACAGGCATGGTTTCTGGTCACGGGGACTGGGAACTGCTCCTTCTCTAGGATGCTTTCAGCCTCCACAACAGGTGACTCAACTCCGAGGGTCTGAACAGGAGTTCAGCTCCTCCCTTTGTCCTGAATCCCTGCAGGGGCTGACCCCTCTTTTCCAAGACAATCTATTTAAGCAGTACCTACCTTCAGCAGTCCCACCTGAAGACTCCTCCCCATGGGAGAAAAACACACACGCTGCCCCCAGGAAATGAAGACAAATGAGGAAGAGGCCTCCGAAGTTGTCTTACCAGGAGGATAAAGAGCAGACGCTGGCCTGGGGCCGGGGTTCAGCTCCTGCTGCTCCACCATCGTCTCCCCACTCAGTCCAGCAGCCTCTGCTGTCCCCCAACTCTCAGCACATTTTGCGGTCACCTCTGCTTCTCCTAAGGGTTCCCAGATGGCTCAGCAGTAAAGAATCCACCTGCCAATGCAGGAGACATGGGTTCAGTCCCTGGGTTGGGAAGATCCCTTGGAGAAGGGAATGGCTACCCACTCCAATATCCTGGCCTAAAGAATCCCGTGGACAGAGGAGCCTGGCGGGCTACAGTCCATGGGACTGCAAAGAATCAGACACGACTGAATATGCACACCTACTCCTCCTGAACCTACCCCTCCCCTCCCACACTGCTTGGTGAGGCCTGGCACAGTCCAAGTTAGCCGAGTCCCCCCGATCCGCCCCGGGGGAGGGGGTTTCCTGGCCTCCTTCCTTCCCTCTTGGTGATATCTCCATCACAAGGGTGATGTGGTTGGCCTTTGATCTTCACACAACCGCGGATCACATCCCCACACACTGTCCCCATGAGAGGCACTAGAGGAGTGAGAGAAAGTGTCTGCTTCATTTCAGATGGGAAAGGAATTCCCTCTGTACCAAAAAGACAGGGATCCCTGTTTCTCAGTCTTGGAGATCATAGGTGGTGACATAGACCAGACCCAGGAAAGAGGAAGAAGGGAGATGCAAGGAGAGGTAGGTGAGGAGATGGCCCCTCTGGGCCACAGGAAGGCGAGGGACCTGCCACACCCAGCCCAGGGCCAGCCTCTCCAAAGCTGCAAGACAGTCTCTAAGCTTGTGAATGGAAGAAGAAAGGAATTCTAAAAGGGAAGGAGAGAGAACCCATGATATATGATCATAAATGTGACAAAATCCACCCAGCTTATCTCAGAAAATATACACAGCATTTCCCTCTATCAGCAAAATGAGCTGATGACTGGGGATATTCCACCCTTGAATGAATCAGGCTTTAACACCTAAGACCAGAGGGGGATTAGAATCTGTACCACTGGGCCCTACGTTTTTCAGATCCTGCTCAGCTTGGCACACACGTGCTTCCAAAAGGTACCAATTTCTGAACTATATTCAGACCATCCCAAATAAAACCTATCCTCAACGTATTACAGGTATGGGTCACATTATCCTAGGATTCCTTGAAAAACAAAAGGAATTTTCCACCCAGCACAGTGCGTTTAATAGCAGAACCAGATGTGTTTGCTCCCTGGGGGCCTCAGACCTTGTCATTTCACCAGCAAAGATAGCGGGGGCAGGAGAAGTGGTCACACTGACAGCAGGCCCCGGACAGCCAGCAGGCCCGGGGCCACACGGAGGCCTCTCCTCCTGCAAAGCCATCCTGCCCCAGTCATTGCTGGAAGGGAAAACCTAGTGACCTGATGACCCACGGCCACCTCCACACATGCCCTCCAGGGCATAGGACCAGCCTGAGTGACCATGTGGACAATTGTGTGTGTGCGCGAGAGAGACAGAGAGACAAAGAGATGATTGTTGCAACGCAAAGCCCACCAGCCCAACTGTAGACCACCCCCCCCCAATCCAGTGCTCTGCCAGGCAGTCTGGAGGACCCTGCCAACTTCAGAAGCACAACCCCATTTGGGGACCCTGATAACTCAGAAACCCTAGGGGGTACAGAGAATGGCCTGTCCAGGAGCCTGCTGAGAGCAGGACTCTGAGAAAGTTCGACTCTCCACTGCAGGGCTACTGCCCTCCCCAGCGCTGGGAACTCAGTGTGTCCAGGGTGCTGGTCAGCCCACCCCCAAGCCCAGATGCCCGCCCTGCTTTCATGGTGGGAAAACACCAGGCCCCTGAGTCCCACCGCTGATGGGGTTTCTACCGGCAGTCCACAGGATCAGGGAGCATTTCCTAAATAAGATCCATATGCCCCGGAGCAGTCCTCACTGGTCTCCCCAAAGGCCAGCTCTGCTTTAACCCGGAGGAGGATGGGCAGGCAGGATCATTGGCCATAATCATTAGTGAGCACATTCTATACTCAAGGCAGTGGACGTGGACTGGGGCTGGGGCTGGACAGAACAGAGGCTCTGACCACCGCAAGCCCACAGTACAGGAGTCCCTGAAATTTTACCGAGCACCCCCAACGATGCTGATCATTCCCACCTCCCTCTTCCTGCAACCTACATCAGGAGCCCTCCAAAGTCAAGGAGGCAGACATGGAAGGGGGTGAGGAAGAGCCTGGAAGGTGCCCAGGAACAGCCTACACGTCTCCCCCAAACACAGCCTCACAAAGTCAGATTCATCCTGGCAGGTTAAGCAGGGAACATGTCGTGAATGGAGGGTGAGGGGCTCTGTCCCACCTTCAGACTACACAGAATCTCAGAAGACAAATAAAGCTCTGGATCCATTTCTTAAACTAATGCCTCATGGAACCCTACTCCAGGTAGAAGGGATGGTGCAAGAGATGTGCCCCATATTTAAATAGGTTGGCGGAATGTGGGGTGAAAGGAAGCCTGGTGCCACCCTGCAGGATTCATCCAAGCTTTTACCCCTTCTTTCCCTCTGAGAAGGCAGCAGAGAGGCAGACTGTACAGCCATGGCCAGGATTAAGGCTGGAAATCTTCACAGCAAGAAGGAGGAGCAGCTGCTGAAACAGGAAGAGGAGCTGAAGGTAGGGCTGTCCCAGTGGCACATCGCTAAAGTGACAGGCAGCATGGCTTCCAAACTCTCCAAGATCCGAGTTGTTCATAAATCCATCACCCATGTATTAACCAGACTCAGAAAGAGAACCTCAGGAAATTCTATAAGGACAAGAAGTGCAAGGCCCTGGATCCGTGGCCCAAGACAACACACCGCTGACTCAACAAGCATGAAAAGAACCTGAAGACCAAGAAGCAGCAGCAGAAGGAGCCGCTGAACCCTCTCTGGAAGTACCCAGTCAAGGACTGAGCATCCAGGCATCAATAAAACAAATAAATCAGAAAAAAAAAAAAAGCTTGTATCCCATCACAGTGTATCTGGGCTTCCCTTGTGGCTCAGCTGGTAAAGAATCTGCACGCAATGAGAGAGACCTGAGTTTGATCCCTGGGTTGGGAAGATCCCCTGGAGAAGGGAAATTCTACCCCCTCCAGTACTCTGACATGGAGAATTCCATGGACTGTATAGTTCATAGGATCACAAAGAGTTGGACACAACTGAGCGACTTTCACTTCACTTCACTTCAGTG